AAACATTTTTTTAGCCAAACTTCAATGAATGATATCTCATGATTTGATGATTGGAATTGGGTGATTTTGTTGCCATTCAATTCGTCTCAACGAGGCGAATCGAATGGTGCCAAAATCATCCAATTCTGATCAGTGAGGCATGTGATATTTACCATAAACGTTATCTGTATCAAAATAGGGATACTTACCTTATATTAAAAAAATAATTTTTTATTAAAATTTAAATAAATTTATTTTGTTAACTGCTTAGTTAAATCTAATAAAAAATTTTATTTGAATTTATAAATTTATAAATTTATAGAATACAAATAAAAAAAATTTATTTAATTTGATCAAGTCATTGCTAAGATATTTTTAATCAAAGTTTTGGAGAATTCTAAAACACCTATCAAAATAAAAGCTGTGTCAAATTTTAACAAAACTTTGACCAAAGATATCTCAGCAACTATTTGATCTAATTGAGCGAAAATTTTTTTATTTAAATTCTATAAAATCTATAGAATTTAAATAAAAAAAATTTTCATTCGATTTGATTAAGTGGTTGTTAAGATATCTTTAATCAAAGTTTTAGAGAATTCTAAAATGTCTATTAAAATAAAAAGAAACTACTAAAATTTTTAACAAACCTTTAATTAATAATATCTCAGCAACCACTTGATCAAATCGAATGAAATTTTTTTTATTTAAATTTTATAGATCTATAGAAATTAAATAAAAAAAAATTTCATTTGATTTGATCAAGTGGTTGCTGAAATAGCTTTAATCAAAGTTTTAGAAAATTATAAAACGTCTATTAAAATAGAAGCTGTGCCAAAATTTTTAATGAAACTTTAACCAAAGATAACTCAGCAACCACTTGATCAAATTGAGCGAAATTTTTTTATTTGAATTCTATAGATCTACAGAATTTAAATAAAAAAATTCATTCGATTTAATCAAGTGGTTGCTAAGATATTTTTAATCAAAGTTTTAGAGAATTTTAATATGTCTATTAAAATAGAAAGAAGCTACACTAAAATTTTTAATAATACTTTAATCAAAGATATCTCAGAAACTACTTGATCAAATTGAGCAAAAATTTTTTTATTTAATTTGATCAGGTGATTGCTAAGATATATTTAATCAAAGTTTTAGAGAATTATAAAACGTCTATCAAAATAGAAGCTGTGTCAAAATTTTTAATAAAACTTTGACCAAAGATAACTCAGCAACCACTTGATCAAATTGAATGAATATTTTTTTATTTAAATTTTATAGATCTAATAGAATTTAAATAAAAAAAATTCATTTGATTTGATCAAGTGGTTGCTGAGATATCTTTGATCAAAGTTTTAGAGAATTCTAAAATGTCTATATTTATATATATAATTTGTAATTTTAAAGAGGTAATTTTATTAATAAATTATTAAAAAAAATTATAAAAAAGTGTGATAGTGATTGTAAGCCAATTGTGATTATATAGAGGTATTTTTACTATATAAAAAACAAACATATAAACTTATATGATTGTATAGAATTTGTGATTATATAGGAAGTGATCTTGGGGGGACGACTGTATAAAGAAAACATATAATTACAAAGACTAAAATATTTATTTATTATAATTCATCAGGCCAATTTTAATATTTTAACTGCCATTCTAATCACAAGATACTCATCTACAACTTTATTTAGAAGTTGAAAAGAAGTTTGCTTAGTAAAGAAAAAAGTTTTTCTTTAAGAAACTCTAAATTTCAAAAATGAGATTTGGGTTTAGAATTTGAGTTTGGAATTTAGATTTGGAATTTGGGTTTGGAATTTGAGTTTGGAATTTGGGTTTGGGATTTGGGTTTGGAATTGGAACTTGAGATTTGGAATAGGTTTAAAATTTGGGATAAGTTTGGGATTTGGGATTTGAAATTAGAATTTGTCTAGTTTTGCTATATGAGATTTTTAAATATAGATAGACAAACCTATTTGTCTGGGTTTGTCTATAGCCCAATTCCAAATTCTATAGGTTTTGCCAACAAGTATACCTATAATATTATATTAATCTTAGATTATAATCTTCTAATATGAAAATATTAACAAATAAGATTTGTTATATAATTAATAGTATAAAAGCTATAAGGTCGATCATTTAAAGCCAAGTAGTTATATGTCTGAGCTACAGAAGCAGTAGCTTGTGTATTTTATACTTTGCTATTAGCTACTATCTAAGTTATATAGAGTTTTAAAGCAATTGTTTATTATACTTGTAGATAATTATTAACTCTTTAAATAAATTTTGATTTAAAATAATAAACTCAAATTAGATAAGCACAACAATTAAACATATTATTATTTTTTATCAGTATTAAATATTAAATATTTTCTTTATTCTCAATAATATTTAAAAAAAATTAAGAATACTAAATTTAAAGATTATGTACTCTTTTAGAAATATGTTTATTGTTTATTATAAAATATATTATAGTAGTTTTGCATCTACAGAGAGACCTCTCTAAATGCATTTTCTATAAATATATTCTCTATGTAAATTCTCTTTAAATGTACAGTATAGTCTGGTTCTAGCTTATAATAGCACTATACATTTTGCTTTCTATAAATGCACTCCCACTTTAAGTGCACATTTTTAAAATTTTTTACTATGGTTCTGAGAAGTGTATTTAAAAAAGTCTCTTTGTATTATGTTTTATCTATTTTTCAAAGATTTGTATATAAAACTTTTAGTACAAATTTTTTATATTTGAGTTAGTATTTAATATTAAAATTAAGGTTTAGAAAGAGTTTTTGAAAATATAAAGCATTTTTTTTTTTTTTTTTTTAATTCTTTGACAGTCTTGCCAGTGCTCAATTTATTAAGACTATATTTTTAGATGAGAGTTGAACTCTCTTGAACAATATATGATTATTCATAACCATAACAGGGAGTCTCACAATTGTGAGCCTAACATCAACTGGCTGTAATAAATGTGTCTACATGCAACTTGTCGCACCAACCTGTATACAAGTTAGATAAACTTTGTCAGCCTGTTAAAGCTTTTCCCTTATATTTTTTTTCTTTACCGAGAGCAAAAGAAAGTGATAATCTTATATCTAATACAAAACTACCAATAGTACCAAGAAAACAAAATGAAAAATTAACTAAAAAAAAACAAATAGAATGAAGGTAAATTTTTAAAGGAGACAATAAAAGAGGTATAATAAAATATAAAAAAAGAAAAACAAAGAAAAAAGTTTGAGAGCCAACAAAGAGAGAACTACTTCTATCAAGAAATAGTACAAATAGAACGAAAGAAAAAAGAAAAGTACACTATTATAACTTATGCCAGGTTTAAAAAAAAATTTTATAACAACTGCAATGTTTGTATATCTCGACTATAAAATCTAACAAATTTTTATCTGACTACTGGCCACCTCTGGATATTTCTTATGCCAGAGACCCAATCCTAGTCATATGAAGAACCTATATCCATAAATTACATTGTGTATTATATCCACTGATAAACAAAGCATGTGGTTGTATTTCTGGATACGTCTGAATTTAGAAGGTAAACAATGCTAATCTTTTGAAAAGAGTAAACCAAATTGCTTACTTTTTGTCGAAATTTTGGAAAAGACTAGCCAAGCAAAAAACACCTAGGGAGAGACCACTTGCATCCAAGGAAAGTAGTTATATCCATATAAAGACTCAACAACTCCTAAACCTTTTTTTAGAAAAGGGATGAGGTACCTATGCTTTCTTTTTGGTGAGTGATAAACTCTGGGCTTGTCGGCAAGTAGTGTATAAGAACTATTTTTAAACAACAAGTGCCGTATATGCGGTGAATAATAAACTCTAAAGAAGTTAGCAGATAGTATATGAAAACTACCTCTAAATAACAACTGCCAACTTATAGCTGCTAGTGCCCTTCATATTTTACTAAATGCTATTGTGTTTTTTACAAAAAATGTGTTTGGATTTTTGGTACAGGTGATCATTGGAAAGAGTTGAAAACATAAAGCATTTTACTTAAAGTATTACATATTAATTAATTAGGTAGTTTAAGATAATACAATATAAATAGTAAAATACTATAGATACATTTTAGTAAAAGTAATATTTATTATTTAATTTTATTTATTTATATTAATTTATATTGTAAATTTGTAAAATGAGAAAAAAAAATTTGATTATTAGATTTTTTTAAAAAAAAATTTCAAATACTGTATTATTTATTGCTTTTAACTATGCAGAAATTTCATCTATAACCTTAATTCTTGTATCTTTGTCTCTTGGCATACTATATTTCCAATAATATAACCTTTGACACTGCCTTGCACTCCTAGTTCCAACATTATCACTAATTCTTCTCCATAAATCCATCCACTCCTCAATTTCACAAATAGCCCATTGTTTAGCCTGTTTTTCTAATGCAATTTCAAATTTAATAACTTCTTCTTCAGTCCAAATACCAGCATTAACTTGATTCTTTTTAGCTTGATTCTTAATAACAGAATTATTCCAAATTTTGTGAGTATTATTAACATTTCCACCTAAACCATATTGTTTCCAATTATGCTTAACTTCTTCTAGAGTTCTTTCAGAAAATTTTTCACCAAAAATATTCATAATCAATTTCCATTTATTATCACAAATTTTTATTTTTTCATGTCCAAAGTCATCACCCATAATTTGTTTAATTGCATAATGTAAATGTGCATTTTCTTCAGAAGACCAAGTTCTACTTGTTATCCACGTATATCGATATGAAATGTTATAATAAGGTCTACCTAAAATTTCCGAAAGTTTTTGCCAATCTTTTCCATGAGTTTTTACTAATTCTAAAAGAAGATTGTCTTCTTGTTCTGTCCATCTCATACGAGGTTTTTTTGATTTCAAATCTAAATTTGATGGTGATTTTTTTTTTGATTTTGAAGTTTGTAATGATGATTGAGTATAAATTTCTTTGGATGGTACCCAACGATCTGAAGATGATCTTGTTAATGTGTTAGCAAATTTTTTTGTCCATTGAGAATTCTCTTCATCTTGTATTGATTTATCTATTATATAGTCTTGAGAAATGTTTTTAGAAGTTTAATTTTTTTTTTTTTTTTTGAAATGTGCATTGATCTGTCATTTAACGACTTTACAGAAACTTGTAAAAATTTTAAGTTCATTAATAACTTTTTACAAGTTTCTGTAAAGGAATCTTTCATTAAGAATAGATACTCGTATATACCCGCCATTACCAAAGTTTTACACATTCTTCTTCGCACATTATTACATTATTATCATAACAATAATAAGCGAAAGGAATGTATTTATCAAAAAAGATTTAAACTTTGATATCAGGTATACAAAAGAACTGAAAAAGATAATTCAACTAGAGAATTTTACCTTTTGATTTTTCGATATAATGAGACGATGATATGCTACGAAAATATGAGAATTGTTTAACGCGCGATGACCTGAAAAATAGTACAGCTGAAGACAGAAAACGGCTCATGCTTGACTTATTATACACTTAAGTGTAGATTAACTAAAAAAACGAATTTTGTTTGTACTTATTATGTGACAGCAGATTGTGTAACCGGCTACGTATATATATATATATCGCTTTTTTTTTTTGAATGAAGTAAAGCGGAGCCGGCAAAAGCCGAAAATCCAGGTTTTCGCTTTGCAGCACTCATTTGGTCTAACTCATAATATTCTTCGAATCGGTAATATACGGTAAAAAAAAAAGATTTAAATATTTATGTACTTAAACTAGTTTAATAATAAAAGTATTTTTAAATTGAAAACTTAAACTGTGCTAAGGTGGCGTGATCTAGTTTACCGGATTACGCGTTGCTAGCCCATTTAAGAAAAAAATGCGACACTTGAGATTGCTTATTTAGAAACCGGCCGGCCAAATTCAACTTTTAATTAAGCAAAAACGTGATCATAGAAAGCTGGCGCGGTTTTCAAAAGATTCCATTGACACCACAGGGAATATTTCTAACTAATGCCCTCCTCAACAGGAATGAAAACGAAGTTCCTTCATCTAAATGGCGTCGTATATTGATCTACGGTGTTGCTTCTGCACGTAAGGCAGATAGTATCCTTTTTAATTATGATAATGTTGACCAAGAGTTCTTAATCTTTGAGAACATCGGCCCACCATCAAGGATAAAGAAACCCAAGTATTATGCGGATCTCCAAAGAATGTTTAGTCAGTCAATTACTAGAAAACAACTAGCAATTTTTACGATTAATGTTGCTGGTAAGTAATTATTGTGCTAATTATATAAAATTCGTATTAATTTGGATAAATTTTGTAGGAGATGTATTAGAAATATACGCTATGCGTAGGGATACTGGCATCCTCAAATACTGTTTATTAGAACAGGCTCCGATTCCCTTACATATAGCAATTCCTAGTGATGTTTATAAACTTATTCATTCCTTGCTGACGCTAAGGGTTTGTTTTTTTTCTTTCGTCATAGAATTTCGAGAGTAAAAAAATAATATATTATTATGATTTTAGACAGCAGTTGCATGTACGATACACAAAATTCTCCATAAACTCGAAGAAGATGATAGCGATTTTAGTACCGATGAAGAATATGACGATCTTAGTACCGAAGAAAGTCCAATAACTATTACAACATCCAAAAATTCATATTATTAGCCTTCTAGGTTCGCTAATTCTCAATATATTTTTTATAAATACATACAAGTAAATTGTCTATCTTCTCCCATATATTACTATAAGATATTGATCATATGATGTATTTTTGATAAATTACGAACCATGCGAATGTGATTTTTTTGTTAAAAAATTATTCTTGCCCATGTAGGGGATCGTCTAAAGCCAGGTAGTAATTTACATGCATCACGTGATTTTTAATTTACGAATTTGTTAATAATCAATTTAAAAACTACCTGGCTTTAGATGACCTCCCATGTAGTCAATCTGTAGTATTGTAGTATTGCGACATTTTGATCATTTGCATAATTACGTCATATATTCATAATCAAAAACTCCAACGATCTTGACTAAGCGCTAAATTGTTGCTCATAATATTAGTTCACTGTTTACCTTTCTGAAATTTTCCTTACTATTCTAAATTATATCATTTCTCTGAATTACGATGCCAACTGAAAATTATAAGTTATACTTTATTCCACTTTATCTGTATATACTATAGAATACGTATATATATAGATTATTAAAGCTCATTTTATTATATTTATTATTCGAATTTTATTTCTCATCAGCACATACAATTTGCATTTTATTGGTCAGAGCAATCATCGTACGTACGTACGTACGTACGATCGCGGCACCGATACATGTGATTAATGATCAGTATCTTTGAAATAAACTTTAAATTCTGTACTATCCGCATTACAGAATATTGTTACTCAAGATCACGGGAACTAACCTTCAAATTATAAATTTGTCAAATGCAGTTTGGTCGAATGATCAAAAATGTCGTTCGTGTTCATACTAACAACCTGCTTCTTTCTAATATTCTTGAATACAATATTTATTTACTATGTTATAGTATCATCCAAAAAATATGTAGTAAATACGATTACCGGACTAAATGTGTTATTGGTTATTTCACATCCAGATGATGAATGCATGTTTTTTGGACCTACTTTATTAGAATTGGGTAATAGGGAATATAAAAATAGAATACATGTCTTGTGTTTATCTGTTGGTTAGTTTCATCGGATGTAATTATGTAATGTTCAATCTTGTTATTATTTCGATTTTTGTTAAATCATCCTATTTGAATGATTATTACAAATAGGAAATGAATCTGGACTTGGAAAAATTCGAAAGAAAGAGCTTGAAGCTAGTTGTACTTCTTTAGGAATTGATGTCAAATTTGTCAAATGGTTGGATCATCGGTGAGTTTTTTTTTTTCATTCTATAACCAAATTTTAATAGGATATATTTTTATTTTCAATTGGTTGTGATTTAGTGAATTGCAAGATGGCCCTAAAAATGTTTGGAATCCTGAATTAATCTCTTCTATCATTGAAGAGTACGTTGAAAAAAACGGAATTGATGTGGTATGTTTCATATCTTTCATATCGTAAATTTTGACACTTCCATGGCATAATAAAAAAAAAACAAGAGTTTGCTTACTCACTCATCTAATAAATTTCATTACAGATAATTACTTTCGATAATAAAGGAATTTCAGGACATCCAAATCATTCAGCTGCGTATAATGGTGCTAGGTAACTATTAATTCCATAACTTTAATTAATATCTTAAAATTTAATCTAATTGTTTCCTAATTTCATCATTATAAGAAATTATGTATTATCAAAAATCACGTCTAAATCTAAATCTTCAAAACCCGGATCTTCAAAATCCAAATTATTACGACTATACAAGCTTAAAACTGTCAACATCATAAGAAAATATATTTCTATTCTTGATCTTTTACCAACATATTTTATTCATAATTATATTAATATTATGTCATTATTTTCGGAAAAGACCCCTTACGAACAAAATCTTCATGATAAAAATAAGCAAAAAAATCAAGAGGTAATTGAAAAGGAAGAAAAATTAATTAATCTTCCTGATTCTCTTATCTTTGTGGCTACATTACAACAATATATTCGATCAAGAAAATCTATGAAATTACACAAATCTCAATTAGTTTGGTTTAGGTATTTGTATATTTTAGCGTCCAGATATATGGTTATCAATCAATTAGAATTGGTAGAATCATGACATAATATATTATGTTTAGCTTTTTTAATTTAATAATCAGAATACAAAAATAATAAAAGTATAGTATTTTGCAATCAGGTTACATATAATCATAATCATTGTTATCGGATAATATATATAATATAATTATTCTGTTAATACGATAATAGTAAGATGCCGAATAAAGTATTTATTTTAGCTATAATTATTTAATTATGTAATATCCTGAATATTTTGTTACCATTAAGTTTTTTTTAGACCCGAAATCAAGGTAATTCGAGTCTAGATTTTTCTACAACAATAATAACAATCAATAGTAATAATAATATAATAATAATAATACGTAATACGTAATAATAATTTTTGGATACCATATAAAGAAAAAATTAGCTGTTACGTACAGTAGCATTGTTAATCCATTTATGAGTACTGTATACGTATACAGTATGTAGGAATGCAAAGGAGAGAACATAGAGAACATAGAAAACCACTGGTTCCTGTTAATAGACTTGCTTATTATAGACAAAAATGAATGCATATTCTAATTTATCCTAATGAAAGTAAGGAAAGTTCTTAACGTTACATTTATCGTTACGTACGTATACATATTAAAATCGAATTTGGATATATATAATATTATTAATTCAATATGTTCTTGGATACGTATTAAATAATTTTATATTAATAAATCTAAATTTGTATGGTGTATTTTTTATCGTTACTCATGTACAGTGTTGTGTGTCATAGTTTAAAAAAATCTAACACGAATGATCGATCGACTCTCGAATTTGTTGAACAATGGCAGCAGTTGATTATTAAGAATAATTGTTCACTCATCACAGAATTTAATATTATCAATATTCGTTTCGTACTAATACATATATAAAAAATTTTTTTTTTTTTATCATATGAACAATAAATGTATTATCAAATTTGTATTATCTTTATGAATTTAAAGCGTTAATTATTAGAAATCACGTGTTAAATGTTGCATATAAAGTTTTTAATTTGTACGTGGATAAATGATTTTTATGATGCCTAAGATAAAATAAGGAGGTGAATGACAAGAATAAAGTTAAGCAGTTTATTCTGTTGAATAATTATGCGTAAGTGAATGCGTGATTTGTGATATCGATATTAACTTTAAAAGATAGCAGTATTTATGTTTAAATAATATTTACAATTTTGGGACAATGCAAAAGGCCAACAATGTTGAAATCTTAACGTTAAGAAAATGTAAAACTTATGTCCTTATGGTTAAGGCGTAGAAATTTAACCTCCAGAGTCATAGATGTAACCAATTAATTTTTTCCATATTTATTATTTCAAAACTATTATTTAAAAATAATAGAAACAATACTAATAAAATATAAGAAAATAATGCAGTTTTTTTAGTAGCAAGAAAGTACACGGTCTAGAACCTAGAAAACTTGTATATATATGATGGAAGAGAAATTTTTTTCTGTATTGCACTCGTTTTTACCTTTAACGACGTTAAACATAACACCAAAGGATTCCAACTAAAGCAACTCTTTAAAAACAATAACTAAAAATAAAAAAACCATGATTCCAGTAGTCACAGGTTCGTAGTATTCAAATAAAAAATTATTACATCAAGTATAACATAAAATTGTAATCTCATCTGTTCTTTTTTTTTGCAATTAGATATTTTTTTGTTACAAATATTCTACTGCCTTCGTCCACTCATACAAATAATAATGATTCTATTTGTCACAATTTATGTCTCTTGGTATTTGAGTGAGTATTTTAACATATATAATATTTGATTATGGAATATTTCTTAACCGTACTCATATTTATTATTTTTATTTTATTACTCAGAACAAATAATCGAATTCATGACAGGTCTGCCAATATCTGCGATTTTCAGACCAACACCAAAAACGAGAAGAACTATAAATATTTTCCAACGAAATCAACAAGACATAAATGACGTAGAGCGAAATTTTCTATTCGAAAATATAATTCGATCATTATGGATACCATTCAGAGTGCTTTAAAAAAATACTATATCAAGGTTCCTTTTGGTCATCACCTCATTATAAATCCGACTCACTATTGGACGGTAAAAGAAGCTGCGCTTCTTTATTATTATACGTTCAAATACGATAATCACATTTCCCGCTTCAAGATGTCAGCACGTGTAAATTTGTGTTATCAATACACATAATCAATTCACTTTAATACTAATAATCTAATTTTAAAGACAATTCTAAACTTGTTTCAATATATATATATATAATTGTAATATTGTAATCAAATCGAATTACTGTACATTCGAACTCATAACTCATTCAAATGAAATAAACAAATTGATTTTTACATATTATTCAAAAGTGTTCAATAAATCTTGATTTGAGATGCAAGATAGTTTACTGTAGAAGCTAGCATGAGTGATGAATTTTATATAAGTGAAATATTACAAAGCAGTCTTAATACTGTAAAATTTTGATCTTAAAATTTGCATGTTGAAGTACCATCAATTATTTATCAAGTACCGTACAGCGTGGACTAAAGTACCCAGGGTACTTTACAATTTGAGCAGTATATATGGGTATTATAGTCGGAAGGATACTATGGTCAGCGTATGGGTATAAGTTGTACTATATGCAGATATGAGTGTCGTAGTAATGTTTTATATATTCTAAGTGGTTAATCCATCTTTAATACCCGGGTATTTTACATTCCCAAGTGCAATTAATCGGTCTTTAGTACCCGAGGTACTTTACATTCTAGGCCTCAGAAAATCGAGAGGGGTATTATAAAAGGTACGGTACTATTTATTTAAGTTAAATTATATATAAATTTTATTTAAGTTAAATTATATATAAATTTTATTTAAGTTAAATTATATATAAATTTTATCTAATCTACTTTTAGAAATCGGACGAGTTTTTCTTAGAACTAGACAAGGTCTTGGTTTAATCCATGATACATGATTACCGTCAACTTTCGTATATACTAACTATATTACGGAAAATACTTCTTTTGCCGATTATTTTAATATTCTAAATCGTATGCCCATACCAGCCAATGTTATAATCCATTGATCCATTGGTCCATTGACCATTTATCTATTAGTTTATTATTTTTATAATTAAATATTACATATTATAAGTAAAACTTTACTTACCTTATTGCTAAATATGTATTATTATATTTAATTTATATTGTTTATTAAATAGCTACTCATTCATATTTATTGTAACTATCAAATAGAAAAGCTTGTACTATTATAACTTCTAAGATTGATATTAAAAATGATATGTAATCTGGGTATTATATAGTTAAATGAATAAAAGTTTTAATAAGCATTTTCTTGTTATGTCAGAATCATATATCTAACACTATATTACAAGTGTATTATCTTCATTGCAATATGTAACCTTTATATTCAATAATTTTTACTTTGTAATAGTTATTTCACATGTGATTCATAAATAAATTTTTATGCTTACTAGCTAAATTAAATTGATGCAAATAATAGACTTGAATAGCTTATTTTAAGCTTAACATTAATTAACTATAATCACTATAAATAAATTAATGCAAATAAAATACCCTAGTTAAATATAAATAAATAAAAATCTTATATACTATTGTTAATCAAATAGTTAATAAGTGGTTAAATAATTAAACTAGCACTTTGATTCGCAATTCGACTAATTCAGATTTATCTGATAATTCGAATTACTGTAAAATAAAATTTTTTAATAAATAAAAAAAACCGGATTGGTGGGTGAGAAAAAAATTTAAAATTATTATTATATATTGGTCCATTGGGATTGTAATTTTTCAATGGAACCAATGGGTCTGGTCAATGGACCAGAGGTCCATTGGTGCCAATGGACAAATGTGCCAACCCTGGCCCATACTCATAAGTTCTAAGCTGAAATCTTTCATACAATTAACAATCTTCTGAGCCATTGGATCGTGACAACTACTTCGTTTCCATAAATATCAATCGGCTCAGAATATTATTATCTGTTACAAATCATAACTGATAATGAAATCAAATTTAAATCAAATTCGAGGTCCCCTAAAACCAAATGTCCACGTCTATTGATAATACAGACTAAAGTTATAAATTTGAAATTTGTTTATTATCGCTATTTGCTTATTTATTGAGCTGCCGTGGCACATCATCCTGATACTTATTTTTGGATGCAAACAATACATCACCTATTCACTAAATGAATTCTTTCAACTTAACTTTTGAAACGCCAAAATTTCGATTGATACCCATTTATTAAATAGAGCAAATTAAATAAGAAATAAATAGAATAAATAACCTATTCTAAATACCTCAATTGTCGAATAATCGACTAGATGTGTTTACTTTAAATGCTTCAAGCAATAAATTACATAGAAATATTGTAAATAGGTTCTTTATTTGTGAATGATGCAAATAAAAAATAAATAACGATAAGAATAGTAGTAAAAAAAGAAAATAAGTAAATAACGATAAGAATAGTAGTAACAGGAAATGATACTACGTATCAGCAAAGTTTTGGAAAACTATTAGTAATAATAATCCTGGCATAGTGATTGGTGGATTGTATGGATGATTACTACGTAAAATTCCTGAAAATTCAATAATATTAGCATTAGATTGGTCAATCCTTATCGATATAATGATATATATATATTTAACAATGATAACTATATTGACCGTGTAAATTATTAGAAATGATCCGGTTTGTAACTTGTAACAAGTTCTACGTATGCCGGATCCAATTTCTAATACAGTATATATATATATCGATATACAGTATACATAAATATATACCGGTATAAAGATTTTTATTATCTGTTATAGTCACCCCTTTTTATAGTCACCTAAATGGTGATAATCATAATTAAAGTATTTTTGGGTTTGAAAAAAAAGTTTAACCAAGGATTTGTTTTAGATGGAATTAATTTTTGTGTAGCCATTCGTTCTACACTTTGCTCGGACAATAAACATAATAGCTTAATTTGTAGAACAAACAATTCATTGGTTGATAAAGACAATTACAGAATCACAGTACATGTGATATTTGTTTTTTAGTCAAAAACGCGTACACCGAAACTCCGATTTTTTTCTTGCAACAAAACTTTAAGAAAAGTGGTTAATAATAAAAAGTCCTATTCATCAAAAAAAGCAAAATCAAAAAAAGTCTTGATAATGCCGGCTGGAAAAAGGGTTCGACGTACAGTTTTCTCTGATAGTGAAACTGAGGAGGCTGAGATCGCAGAAGAAGAACCGGTAATTTAAATTTATTCCTTTTTATTTGTATTATGCTCATTATCTTTGGTGGTATTTAAATTAGTTACTTAATAATGCTTGAAAACTTGTTGATTACTTTACGAAATATATAGAGACAAACTAGATCTAGTTCAAAAAGAGCACGTCAGTCTGCAACTGAAGAAATTAGGGCACGTCGATCGGCAACTGAAGAAATTAATGGTTTTCCTGACGAAATGTCTTTTGATGAAGATACCTATTTTGAAGATGATGATTTTGGTAGAGAATCAGCCGAAGAATTGGAAAGAACGAAATTAAGGAGAAAAAGTTCAACTGGGGTATGAATTATTTTTTTTACAAAAATTTTTATATATTATTCATTTTCATAAAGATCTTATTATATTTTTGACTAATATTATATATTTTTAAATTTTTAAAAATTTTATTAATTAAGGTAATAGCAGAGTCTAGTGTCATCGAATCAATAGAATTATTGGATTTTATGTGTCATAAATTTCTTAAAGTTAATTTCGGTCCAAAAATAAATTTCATTATTGGGCATAATGGAAGTAGGTATATGCATGCGATATTTTTACGTTCAATATATTTAATATAATTGAAAGATTAATTTTCTCTTTGGAATATATATATATATATATATATTTTTAGGTGGTAAAAGCGCCATTTTAACGGGAATCACGGTTTGTCTTGGAGGTAAGGCCAATGTGACGAATCGTGCGTCAAACTTAAAATCTCTGATTCGTGAAGGCGCAAGGTATTTAAACATTTAAACTGATTAAATTCTCTACAAAAAATTTTTTGTCAAATTAATAACTAAATGAATTAATTTTAAAAAAAAAGTGTTGCACAAGTAACTTTGAAATTACGGAATCGAGGTGCTGATGCGTATCGTCATGAAGTTTATGGTGATTCCATTGTTATTGAGCGTAGGATTAGTCGAGATGGTAGTAATGGTTATAAAATCAAGACTAGTGGTGGGAAGGTGGTTTCTGGAAAACGAGAAGAATTAAATGCTATTTTAGATCATATGGCAATTCAAGTGGACAATCCTATGAATGTTCTATCACAAGATACTGCACGTCAATTTTTACACTCTTCAAGTCCGGAAGATAAATATAAGGTAAATTTTATATATACATTTTATTTAATCTAAATATTATTATTTAATTTAAATTTTGTATCTTGTTAACTTTTATTGTAGTTTTTCATGAAAGGAACTCAATTGACACAACTGAGTGAAGATTATGAATTAATACGCGAAAGTATCGAAACGACACAAAATATTATAAAACATAAAAAAGAAGTGCTGCCAGATCTACTTAGAGCAGCTAAAGATGCAGAAGCAAGATATAAAGATATGCAAAAAGCCCGTGAACTTGAATTAACAGTTGCTGGCTTGAAGGATCAAATGGCCTGGGCCCAAGTTGAAGAAAAAGAACAGGTTTGTTTTAAGCTTATATATATTCATAGAAAATTCAAAATATTAAGTACTTGATAATTTAACAGGAGGTTGCAGAATCAGAAGCAAACTTGCTAAAGGCTAGAAGACGATTACCAACCGTTCAAGCGCGTCTAGATCAAGAACAAGTTAATATATATATATATTTAAATTGCGTAATACAATTATATGATATTTACTAAATTATATGATATTTATTATTAATTTATTCCATTACACATAAAATATAACAGGCAAAATTCGATGAAATCAACTTGGTTATTTCGGAATTAGAACAGAGACTTCATGAACACGCTACTATTACTCAACCTTTACAAAACAGGAAAAAAGAATTACAGATTCAAGTGAAAGAGAAAGCGAAGCAATTACGCGAGATTCATGTAGGTTTTTAGTAATTTTTTTTTTAATATCAAAAGTTAGTTAATTAATTAATAGATTAAAAATATGAAAAAATTTTTATATAGAAAGAGGAAAGAGAAATAAATGACTTTATTAAAAATTTGAAACACTCTGTTGAAACATATCGATCAAAGATAAATGAGGAAGCACTTAAATTACAAGAGGATAATCGTCAAAAACGGGAATATACATTAAATGCTGTCAGGGAAAGGGAAAATGAGGTCAATATGTTAACGCAGGAACGTCATGAACTATTGACAAAAACTGAAAATTTAGTTGAGAAAATTGAACACATAAAAAATGAAAAACGGTCAATTACACATAATATTCTACGTAGCGAAGATGAGATTCAACGACAAAATGAACTAATACAACAGTTAAGAGATCAAAAGAGTGATAATCTCAAGGCCTTTGGTCCTTCAATACCTGATGTGCTTAATGCCATTAATCATGAGACTCGCTGGCGTAAGAAACCTGTTGGTCCTTTTGGAAGATATATTAAGCTAACAAAACCTGAATGGAGAAATACTTTGGAATCAGTTATTGGACATTCTTTGACAGCTTTTTCTGTTAGTAATCATCATGATCAACAACTACTATCAGGGATTTTAAAAAGATTTCACTGGTACATAATTTACAAATTATTATTGATTTTGCAAGCATTATTAGAATTTTTAAAAAAATTTACATCAAATTTATTTTTAATCTAATCTTCAAACAGCAACTCTCCAATTATTGTTGGTGAGGATGACCATTTTGATTACTCCTCTGGAGAACCTAGCAGCCGTTATTTGACTATTTTACGCGCATTACACGTAATTATAATATTTATTGGATTATTTTTTTATTTATAAAAATTTGTTAATATGAATTCTATCATATCTAGTTTGAAGATGAAAATGTTAAACGACGACTTATAATTCAACATCATATTGAATCAGTTATTCTTGTTGAAAAGCGTGCTGAAGCTGATTTGATTATGAACAATGATGGAAGAGGGTTCCCTTATAATGTCAGCGCATGCTACACCGTTGATGGGTTCAAAGTTGGGCATAGGTAAGTAGTTTAATAGGGAATCATTGTTTTAAATTTTAATCACATATTTCTTACTCCATTATTATTATTATCATTTTATGATTACAGAGGTGGTGGCTATTTAACGCAGTCAATTTACACCTACAGAGGACCTGCTAGATTTACACAAGATATTGATGCTCAAATTCGGTATATACAATTGCTCTAATTGATTTACGTGTGGAATCGAATTTTTATTGATAAAATATTTTAAATAATTTAGAGATACACAAGAAAAAATTAAAGATGCAACCTTTATGAGAAATCGGTATATCACCGAATTAAGAAGAGCCGACGTGGAAATTGATAAAGCGAATCAAGAACATAGGGAAATCCAAGTGAGTAGTTGCATAATATAATTTTTTTATTTAGGTATTAATAATTAATATATTGTTTTTAATTTGAGTTTAGAACAAGATTAATGAGTATCAACGCCGTGGAAAACAATTGAATAATGAAATAATTCAGTTGAAAGAAGATCTACAGGTTTAAATTAAAATCTAATACGAATTTAAAATTTTTTTTTTGAATATGTTTACTCATTTATTTTATTTTATTTTATTTTTGTTATAGGAAGATGAACCGGCAAATATTGCTGCATTGGAAGAAGCAATAAGAGTATGAAATTTTTAATTTTTGCATCTATGAATACAATGGTTAGTTTTAGGTTTTAATATGAAATAATGAATTATTTGCAGGAAGCTGAAATTGAGATAGAACAATATAAAAGAAATTATGCATCACTTCAAGAACAAAAAGTGCAACTAGATAATGAACTATTACCACTAGTCACTGAAATTGAAGAAGTGAGCAAACGGCTTAATGATATGTCAAGCGAAGTAGACGTTCTTAATGTATGTGAACTATGTTCATATTAAATTCATTTGGTAGTGTGTTTTATTTACGTATATTTTCAACAGGAGCAAATAGAAGAACAAGTGTCAATGCGTGTGACTTGCTCGAACAATAAGACGCATTGGGAAAGAAAATTGATACAAGAGCAACAAAAAATCAATGTTGTTGAGGAAGAAGTAAAGAATAAGAAAGCTGTTCTGGAGGTAACTTAATACTATTGATTATATTCAAATTAAGGTTTAATTATAACTATTACTTTATCTATTAATCATTTTATAGGATTGGACAAAGCAGGCTGAGGATTATTGTCCAGAACGTGTAGAAGTTACGAAACCAGCGAATGAATTAGATCGTGAGATCAAACAAATTCAAAATCGTTTACGAGAAAGAGAAAAAGAGTAAGTGATTTTTTCTTTACGTTAAAATTTTGAATTTTTTTTATTTTATTTTTTTTTAGGAATTAATTTCTGTCCATCTGTACAGACAGGGTTCAAGCCTTGAAGAAATCGCTTCTGATATGAAAGCAAAAGGTGATGATTACCGACACGCAAAAACCGAAATTGGTCATATGGAAAATTTTACTAAAGTAAGCAAGTTATAAATAATTAGTTGTGCCTTATACTTTGTAAATGCTAACGGGTAATACAATTTTTCATAGGATCTCAAATCGGCTTTGCACTCACGTATGCAAAAGTGGCGAAATTTTCGTACTTTCATATCTGTTCGTGCAAGGATTCAATTTACATATCAGTTATCGAAACGTGGGTATACTGGTAAGCTATTGTTTGAACATCAAAATAAAAGATTGAATCTCCGGGTGAGCTTTATTTTATTTTTTTTTAATGATATATCGTGCTTTGTTTGCTTGTAATATCGATTGTGAACATTTATATAATATTTTTAAATCATTAATTAGGTACAAATTGAAGAACAAACAAATCAAAGTTCTGATAAAGATCCAAAATCGTTATCCGGAGGGGAAAAATCATTTTCAACTATATGTTTGTTGCTTGCACTTTGGGAAGCGATGGGATGTCCAATCCGATGGTTATTACAATTTTAATTTTTGCAATTTATAACGTTAATTTTTGATTCTTATATTAACTTTATATTATATACATTTCTAATTTCTAGCCTTGACGAATTTGACGTATTCATGGATGCTGTGAATCGTAGAATCAGTATGCGTATGATGGTAATTTATTTATTTATTTTCTTTTTCACAACGTTGCGTTCATGTTGCTAATTGATTCATATGTTGCATTTTTTTTTTTTGCATTGATGTTTGTCAGATTGAAACGGCACGTGAAGCAGATTGCACACAGTATATCTTAATTACTCCTCAGGACGCGAGTAACGTTTCTCCCGGGCCAGACGTCCGTGTACATCGTTTACAAGACCCTGAAAGAGGACAAGGAATCCTCAACCAGTGATTGGACCCGTTTACACGCTTGCCGAAAAAAAAAATCGGCTAAAGCTAATTTTTAGCTTAGTTGGTCGGTTTTTTTTTTCAAAATCGGCTGATCAATTCTTATAATAATAATAATAATAATAATAATAATTCATGCATAAGTTTTTGATCACTGCAGAAAGTTTTTTTTTTTTTTTTTTTGTATATTACTGAATCTTATCATGCTTTCTTGTTAATATCAAATATGCTACAGTTATACCTGGATTATATCACCCATTTTTCTGTATGTTTTTTCAATTTTTGGAGATATAACTATGGTTGGGGTATAATTAATTAAATATATAAAACAAAAAAAAAAAAAATTAGTTTTCTTAAATATGTAAATGAGGTAGGGGATATAACCCAGGTACGACTGTATGTTGTCGGCGTAAGCAAATAATGGATTTATCAATAAGTGATACTATATTTTAATTAAGATTTTTAATTAGTGCTATTAAACAGACCGTAAAACGGTTTTTATTAACAAAAAGCTGGAATTTCATGTTGGACTTTTAATTTTCATAAGTCATCTTGATTCATCGATAATCGAGATTATATTACAAGTCGCTAATTGGTATTAAAAACAAAGTTACATTTTTGGTTTGACTTATAGACCAAATCTAATTCTTTAAATATGAAATTCTAAACAAGAGATCACTTTATAATTTTAAAACAATAATTGGTTATATGCATAAATTATAAGCAATCTAGCCTTGATTTAATAATTTACTCTGATTAATGAATATTAAAATTGTCTAGCTCACTAAATTTTATATTTTATTAGCTTATATTTTTTTTTAGCTACGTAGACTATTAAACCTATTACGTATAACAAAATTTTAAATATTCAATAAAATTATTGAAAGACCTATCCGAATAAAAAAGCTTACTATCGTAAATATACCAAAGCTAGTGATAATAACAATTTATAAATTAAATTTTAATGTAGTAAATAAATTTATTTAAAACATTTCTAAGAGATGTTCTAAAACACTATTACAAAACCTCCCTACAAATTTATGTAATTTAAATCTATACAACGGCACTAATAACAATACGGCTAATTTCCTGGCTGGAGGATCGAACAGATAACTCCATTGTAACACCACTGCTGGGAGCAAATGTCATACGACTTTTGGCAAGAACTTCCACACCGCCCAAAAATATACCAGAAAGTAAAAGAGTATGTACACTTGATGATTGTGGTGTCCCAGTGTTTTCAACAGCACTCATTCCCAGAAGTTCAATTAATGTTGTACAAGCAGCTAATAAAGCGTAGCTATTAGTGTGAATGATCATATTTCATGTATACGTAATATAAAATGAAAATTTATAATAAATACCTTTCAGGCTCTTTGCTGCAGTCAGGGCAAATGTCTCAATTACTTGACCATCTTCTCCAAGTTTATCCCAGGCTCCCTGGAAATCAGATATGTATGTTGGAAGGACATAATCTCCAGTCACTAACTCAACATCTTCCACCTATTTAAAAATATAGATATATTAGTAATATAAAATTAAAAAAGTTGCATTAATTTTAATAGAATGTTTACCAGATATTCATCTTCATAGCCATCTTCATCAGGTTCTCCGCTATTAGGATCACAATCCTTGACTACAAATTTCAAAGTATTTGAGAAACTTCCCAAAGGAATTTCATCGAGATTGGTTCTTTTAAAAGCAACGTATACAGATCCTGGTTGATCATATGCTAATTTTGAAGCTGGGATTACAAACTCTTCCTCTAACCCAATATCATCAGATTCTGGTTGCATTACAACTGACACATTCTCTAATAACTGATCATTTAATGTATTGTTTATATTAAACTGTGCCATTTTTTAAGAAAAGGAGGAGGAGGTATTAATTAATAAGTAATTATATACGTATTTATTTAATTGCTATCAACATGGAACAAGCATACCTGGAATACTATGTTTTCACTAAACACGTGTTTTACACAACTAACAACATATTCTGTCTCACTTTCTGTAAGCTCAACTGGTTTGATACTACTTTTGAACAAAGTTCCAAATGCTGCAATTTCGGGAACTTTATCCAATTGTTGAGCATAACTTTGTTGTTGATCTATTCCAGGGGTGGGTGTTGCATCCCTGCTTGTTGTAGAAATAGTAGCCGGGATGATTCCACTAACAGCTGGAGAAGACACTCCAATAGTCTGTGTTGCTAAATCAAAACTTCGAGGTCGCAAATTCTCGGCTTCAGCCTGAGATTTCGATATCTTCGGAATTGCAGATAGATCGAATGGTTTTTCCGCCGATTCAGAACCACTTACATATTGCACCAGTTGTCTTTCAAGGGCCGCAAGTGAATAAGTAGAATCTATGCAAGAATGTATTTTAATACATTAATATTTAAATCAAATAGCGAATGAAGATATACAAACCATCTTTAAGATATTTTTCAGCATTATCATCATCATCTAAAAGTCTCAAATATAATGTTGCTCTATCTCTGACTTCGTCATCATTATCATCTAAGCATCTAAATAATTAAAGATTATGTATAAATATATTAATATGTGGTAATAATAAAAGTTATAAAAATTTCATACCTAGTGAGCAGAACTTTTATACTCTTTTTAACCTCGGGATCTTCTACACTGACTCCAAATTTAGCAAGAGCGCTCACTGCCGCAGCTCTAACAATAGAATTTTCTAAGATAACACGGTTATAAATGTAGCGGATATATTTTGTAGGAGTGGCAGTCTTTGGTCCCTCAACTCCAAGAAGGTGTAAAACACGTACAGAAAGTTTTGTGAATTCACAATCTTCTATGAATTCGCACAAATGGGCCAAAGCTAAAAAAAATATTTATAGTTTTTAGAATCTTATTCATATATATAAAATTGTGATGAACTTAAGATTTACCTGCTTCTTTGGATTCAGGTATAAACTTAACCAAGTCAAATATTGCTTCAACTACTGCTCGTTTAAATTCATATCCTCCTTCATCTCTCAATACTCCGCTTAAAAAGCCAAGCATTACAGCCTGTTTTGTGGGAAATTTTAAGCACAGCGAACGGATCGCATCAACAACAATGACCTTGAATTCATCTGAAATTTCTGACATGAACCCAGTAATTTGTTTCATTAAACGATCGACACTAGCTTCATTTCCGGTCTAAAATTTGATTAAGATTATATTATAATATCATTAAATAAAATAATGATATTAAGATAAAAACTATACTCACTTTTAATAATGTAGTTATGGCGAATGTGGCAACGCTTCTGTTTTGATCTGTTATTAGATTCTCCATATCTAAATTACAAGGCTGAACTGCTGCAGGGTGAGTCATAGCCAACTTATTAAGTGTACGAATGGCAGCAAATCTAAGTGTAAATCTAGGTGATGAGAGGAATAGTTGGAGCACTAAACATTCGCGTAAATTATCAGTTTTAATTTACAAAGAAATTTTATTGATATACAAAAAAATAATGTACAACACGTTACCATTAATAGCTGGATATAATTCTTTGCTCGTCACATCCTTAATGTTACATATGGCCTTTGCTGCTTCGAAATTAACAATATCACTTTTATGCCTCAACCACCCTTCCAAAAGATCATACATTTGTTGCCTTGAACTATTGTTAAATTGAAGTTTGTAAATACAAATAGATAATAATTTGTCAATAAATCAAATTAAATATTTTAACTCACTTAGGATCTTCATCTAAAATCTTTGCAGCAAACCGAATCAACAAACAGTATGCAAAGGTATTACGTAAAATGCCACTAGAGGAACCAAAACCACCTCTACTACTTCCAGCCAACTGTTGTATCAACTTTGTTACAGCCATGCGATCATGTTGACGAATTAAATATAAAAGGCCTAATGCGTGATATTGATTAATATTACTGGTTGAAGGGGGGGTATTATAAGAGGAACTACTCGTAGAAAAAGATGTTAAATATGAAGAAGCATTCGAGACAAGCGAAGCAGGCTTATAATTAATAGCTTCATGAACTTCGTTGGCCCATCTTTTAATTACATCTTTTCCGGCAGGAAACAAATGATAACTAGATACGATAGCAGCGGAAGAAATAGATGGAGTTTTGTCGACAACGGCCGCTTTAAGAAAACGTTCGACACTTGGAAGCATTGATGCCTAAATTTAAAAAAAGCTTAGTTTTCAAAAAAAACATAACTCATAAAAAATTTAAAAAAATATATATAGTTACATCAGTGATTTTACATAGGGCTCTAATGGCATTTGCTCGATAAATAACATCGGATTTCGGTTGCATATCTTTCATCAGGCTACTAGTAACCATAATTACATCCTCAGCAATGGATGATAGTTCTTTTATAACTAAATAAACCATTTGTCGCAAGGCGATCTATAGATATTCATATGCAAGAATGGAATCGACCAAAGAATGTCCATATAGAATACCATTGATGTATGGAATTAAAGAACTTACAAAGCTTTTGCGGATTTGGAGTCCGTATAATGAAATAATCTTACATCTTTAGATTGAAATAGCTTAGTTACACTAAAGAACAATTCAGTCGCTTCAGTTGTCGCCATTGGTTCTCCAATATACAATAAATAAATGATCTTGGTCAGTAGTAAACGGCATTTTCTTGGAACTATTGGTGTTTCATTAAAGACGCGGGCCTCTTGAAGGACAGTAGTTTTATCTAAATGATAAAAAATGCCCAAGTCTCCTAAGAAAGCGGATAGTTATGTTAATTTAATCGTATTGAGTACGAAATGCAAAATAAGCAATTACTAAAGCTTTTATTCATTATATGTCATCTATTTTTGCCTTTAGTATGCTTTCGGTGACTGAAAAAAGCCCCTGTTCTTTTTTTAGTAATCATTACCTGAATCCTCGTCTTTTTTTGATAAATTCATGACTCTTTCGTTGGATTGCTTATATCTAATTCAAATTTGATGAAACTTTGTTATATGTTATCTGTTATACGTACAACTTCAATGCTAAAACCCTTGTCGTACAGACTATGTCACGTGATAGATCAGATTACATAAATCACAGGATCAAGAATATTCGCATATCCGCAGAGTTGCTAAACGCTACTTCTGTTATTTCAAAGAATTCTTTATAATAATACATAATTATGTCGGACGACGATTTTATGCTCGAGGACGATGAAGAGGAAGATTACAATTTTGATTATGAAGATGACGATCCAGAAGAACCTGACGTTAATTTAGAAAACAAGTATTATAGTGCAAAAGGTTGATACTTTAAATTATACCATTTTAATTTATCATATTCAGCTTCTTGCCTTAAACCTAATATGGTTTATTTCATCGTTTGATCCAGCTCGAAAAGAGGAAGATCCTGCTGGTGCTATTAGAGAGTTTCAGAGTGTGGTGGATACAGAACAGGAGAAAGGCGATTGGTAATTCGACTTTGACGATAATTTCATGATAGCGCCGGAAGTTGTATACTTTTATTAATAATAATTTTTATAAATGTAATAGGGGTTTCAAAGCACTCAAACAGATGGCAAAACTATCTTTTAAAGCTGGTGATCATGAATCAGTATGTTTTGTACTTTGATTCTTTTATTATATATGTTGATTAGGAAGGATTTATGAATAATTATATAATAATTATATTAATTATAGACTCTCAGATACTATAAGCAACTTCTTTCCTATACGAAGTCAGCAGTAACGCGAAATTACAGTGAAAAAAGCATAAATAATATACTGGATTTCATTTCTTCTTCCCAAGATATGAGTTTCATGGAAGAGTTTTATTCAACAACCCTGAGTGCATTGGAAGAGGCTAAGAATGAGGTTAGAGAAATTTTCCAGATAATATTTTTATTAATATAAAATTATTACAGTATTTAAATGTATTAACATTTATACTAATTACATTTTTTTAGAGGTTATGGGTAAAGACTAATCTCAAATTGGCAAAACTCTGGCTTGATAGAAAAGAATATAATAGGTTAAACAAGGTTAGCATTTAATTAATTACTAGCAATTTTTGATTACTATTTAAACAAGCACTTTATTAATTATATTAAATATCCGCCTTTTTTTTCATCTAGATCTTACGTCAGCTCCATTTATCGTGTCAAAAAGATGATGGAACTGACGATCAACGTAAAGGGACACACTTACTGGAAATTTTCGCGCTTGAGATTCAAATGTATACTGAAACGAAAAATAACAAAAAATTAAAGGTTAATCTCAAACTTGTAATGCCTCTAACGAATCTTTTATTTTAATTTTTCAAACGTTAACATTCTTAATATTTATAAGGCTCTATATCAACAATGTCTTCACGTCAAATCTGCAATCCCACATCCACGTATAATGGGTGTTATTCGTGAATGTGGTGGTAAAATGCACATGGGAGAGAGTGAGTTATTTATTTAAAGATTAAAATGTCATCTTGTTTTAAAAGGTAACTAAAATATTAAACATTTGTTCAGAGGAATGGGACAAAGCACAAACCGATTTCTTTGAATCTTTTAAAAATTATGATGAAGCTGGTAGTCCTCAACGTATACAAGTTCTTAAGTAAGCTAATATACATTTGTAGCAAATGTTATTATATTTTACTCTTATATGTTAAACATAGTTATTTTTAGGTACCTCGTTCTTGCAAATATGTTGACAGAATCGCAAATTAATCCTTTTGATTCTCAAGAGACAAAGCCGTAAGTAATTTACTTTATTGTATTTGATTACTTAACTTCAGTAATAAAGTTTTTCTCTATTCTTTTTATTATAGATACAAAAATGATCCTCAAATTGTAGCAATGACTAATCTAGTTAGTGCATATCAACGCAAAGAAATTCGGGAATTCGAGAAAATCCTAAGAGGTTTGCATGAATCATCGAATTTTATTTTTACGATATCAAATAATTTACTTAATCAATATTCTTCTATAATTAGATAATCGAGCGACCATTATGGATGATCCTTTCATCCGTACATATATCGACGATGTTCTCAAGAATATTAGGACTCAAGTACTGCTTCGTCTTATTAAGCCATACACGCGAATAGAGATACCATTTGTGTCAAAAGTAAGTATTCTGGTTTATTCTATATAATTCCTTTACAAATAACGATAATTTATATTATTATTATTCTTGTTAGCAACTCAATATTCCTGCACAAGATGTTGAAGACTTGCTTGTTGGTCTCGTTCTTGATCAAAAAATTAAAGGATGCATTGATCAGGTGAACCAACGGCTAGAATTATATAGGCAGTACGTATTACAATTATTATAAAGGGATTATAAAAACGTAAATATATATTAACTCTGGTCTTTAACTTTGTTTTTTTTAAGGTCATCTGACACTGAACGTTACAATTCTATCGATAAGTGGTCAACCAACGTATCGACATTATATAAAACGTGTATTAATAGGGTCACGTGAATTGGATGAGTATTTTTATGAAACAAGGATCTGTATAAAGTGTTATAAAGAAATTTGTGCGTTGTATATTTTGATGTGATGTTTATTATGAAAGCATTGTTATGAATTATTGAAAAAGCCAAGCTGCATTAATAAAGATTAAAAGATTGTGATGCTTTGAACCTGTCAACAAGCTCTTTATTTTTTTAATAAATAATTAGTAATTCTATTTACTAACAAAATCACTTCCTCCCCTTTTTCCCACTACCAGAACCACCAGTATTTAATGCATGACCAGTTTCATTAATGTGATCAAATAAACGGTTTCTTGATGTAAAGGTCTGTGAACAGACATTACACTTTTGCTACAAATTATAATTTACATTGAGTTGATTAACATAAGAAAATTTTACAAAGCATTTAAAGTATTTAAAATATTTAAAGTATTTAAAGTATTTAAAAATATCAATTATTTATGTTATTTTACCTGTTTAGAATCTTTAGATTTTTTCTTTTCTTTTCTCCGCTCTTTTTTAGTACCATTTTCTTGTTGAGTTGATTTATCATCGTCAACATTTAATAAAGGTTGAGTCTTATTAGATTCTTCTTCAGATTCAAAACCACCTCGAGAAGAAACTTTTGTCTTTTCTAATAGTTCAGATAATTCATCATCACTATTAAGTGAATTAGATTTCATTTTATCTTGAATAATTTCATCACCAGAGATTTCCTCATGTCCCCAATTTGAAGTTTGTTGTCTTTTCTTTGGTTTTTTTTTCTTTTTAGAACTTTTTGTAAATGAGTTATCTTCAATGTCTTTTGTATCATCATTTATCGATTCATCTATATCATGATTATTTACATCATAATTATTTTGATCATCTGAAATTACTAAATCTTCATCATCTTCAAGCATTTCTTCTTTCAATAATTCAACATTTTTTATATGCTTTTTACTTTTTTCATGATTTATCCATTGATTCTCATTTTTAAAACTTTTATTGCATGCAACACAAAAGAATTCATCTTCTGGTTCATCATCATCTTCACTGTCATTTTCATCTTCATAATCATCCACAACTTTTGTCCACTCTTGTTCTTGATATTCTTGTAATTTAGAAACATGTACAGCACGATCACGAGCAGCTCGTTTTTTTGCTTCAGCAACTTGAACTTTAACTCTTTGTTCAGCAGCCGCCTTATACGCTTTATACCGTGGATCACGTTTTTGTACGAACTCAACCAATGACTGAATATAAATATAAATATATATATATATATTATAAAAATAGGTAATTAAAATTTTAGATAATATATAATTGAGAAACTCACTCTAACAGCCTCATTATATTCTCTACGAGCCGAATTACGAGACTTTTCATTTTCTCCATCCATCCATTTTTTAGTCCGCCTATCTGGTGCCTACTTTGATTAAGTCATTTTTTAAAATAAAAAAAAATTTTTTTTATATAATTTATATAATTACAAAATTTTTTTTATTTATCATATATATTTTACCTCAGATAATCGATGTTTATCAAACCAAGCAAATTTTTTTCGTGTAGAAAAATTTGTCCATGATTGATAAAAAATTTTAATTAAATTTCCATATTTTGAATCATCTTGATCTGGTGATGCAGTACTATCACCAAATGATGGATAAGGGAAAAAATCGGAATTGTCATCTCGATCACGTGCATAAGCTTCTTCTTCTTCTTTAGCTAATCTTTCAAATATATTTCCATATACTGTATAGAATCCCTAATAATAATATCAATAATATATCAATAAACTTATTTAAAAAAAAATTTTTTAAAAAAAATCATACTTTTGCACTATCATCAAAACCATTAAAACATGCAACGTTAAAGTATTTCATGAGATCTTCTGCTCTAATTCCTGCCACATTTTGGTATCTAGACTTAGTCTTGGAACTATCATAATAATCATCATCACCCTGATCAATATCATCATCTATAAAAGATAAAGATTTTGTAATTAAACAATATTTAATCGAATTGAGTTGATTTTTTTTACACATACCTTCTCTTAAAATAGCATCCCGGTGATTATCATACCTGCAAGAGCAATAAACATATACAATAAAAAAATCAAAAAGGTAGATCCGAATTCATCACTACTCTTCTTCATACCATTCCCTTTCGTTTGGATCTGATAAAACTTCGTAAGCTTGTTGAAGGAGAGCGAATTGTTGTGTCGCCTCCGCAACTCGATGATGATTTTTATCAGGATGCCATTCTAAAGCTTTTTTACGATAAGCTTTTTTTAGTTCTTCTGGAGTTGCATAATCTTCAACGCCTAATAATTCATAGTAACAAGTCCGCATTTTTGTTTTTTTTAAAAAAAAAATAAAACCTTACACTTAATCGTTATCGTCTTTTATTATTTTCAGCTAATCATCACATGATAATACATGATAATCACTATCACAGTTTCACAGTTTCAAAGTTTCTAAGTTTCACAACCTCACAGCAAAAACATACAATATGTACAGTACATTTATTTAACGTTATCGATATACGTAACAGTCAGTTAAGACGAAAATTATCATTAATAAAATATAAACAAATTTATTAATTTCCAGAAAACTTTCTTTGCTCACTCTCTAACAAGAAATTTCAAAATTATATAAACAAATTTAAAAGGGTAAAAGATATAAGATTGCAAAAATGATTTGGTCATCATTTTTTAAGAATTAATTGTTTGAACATAGTCACACCTGCTATACAACTATCATATTGCGACAAGTTCAAGAACAATGAATGACCCAAAGAATAAATTATAAGATGAAAAAAAATAATATAAAATGCGAGAAAAAAAAAAATATAAGTTTTGCAAGTATATAAAAATAATAAAATAATATATGTACTAAAGAACCAAAGTATATATAATGCGAATTTGTATACAAAAATTTTTTTTCTTTTTTGAAAAAAAAAAAAAAAAAAAACTCTACGATATATAAAAACAAAAAAAAAGAAAAATGCGCAAATTAACAAAATATGTGCAAAAGAAAAGTTTTAACAAATATGTACAAAATATGAGAGTGAGAACTATCATGAACCGAAGAGACAGAAATGATTTACACACGATTAATAAGTTTACCAGGTTTTAACCCAGCACTTCCAACAGATAAAGACCTACGCCGACCACCTTCAGATATGCGCAATAAAATTGCAGCTTTAGAAGCTTTTGAAAGAGGAGGTTGAACGGAATCGTCAAGAGAACCACCACCGACTTGAACATTAGAAACAGTATCACACAATCTTTTTTGAATATTAGCGGCTTGATGAAGAGCAGGACGAGAAGGGTAAGGTTGAGCTTGATGATGGTGATGACGTTTGCTTGGGGAAAAATGAGAATCCATAGGTAATGGATTATGAGCGCGAGTAATTGGAGAAGAACCAAAAATCAAATGAAAGTTATCAACAGGCAATCGCATTGGACGAGACTCAGGTTTCTGCTTCATATGATCAATCTCAATGGCACCAGAATAAGGAATGGAATTATGACCATTTTCATTAGCAATGTCTTTTTTATCATCTTGATCAGCTTTAATAATAGGAGATGTAGAGTTAACTCTATGAACACTATCCGGAGAAGCAGATTGAGAAACAGGGCTACTAGAGCCGCAACTTGAATTACCCATTATTTCTAAAAGTTCAGCACAAGCAAGAGCATCATCAGACCTATTATTATTGATAAATTAAAATAAGATTAAATAGATGATAAATAAATAAATCAAATATAAAGAATTAAAGAAGATTAAAGAAAGATGAAGAAAAAAAAAAAAAAAATCAAATATAAAGAATTAAAGAAGATTAAGAAGAAAAAAAAAAAACAAAGCATACATTGCTTCAAAAAGATCAACAGCATTATCAAGAATTAAATGATCTTCTTCCATATCTTCTTGAACAGAGGAAAGTCCCCAAGGATTCTCAGCTTGAGGAGAACCAGGGGCGAAATTATTGTTGGACAAGTGACCAGCATATGCGTACAAAGCTTTCTTGGGACAAGGAGCAACTATACTTGGTAGATCATACATCTTGTCATTATAAGCAGATGTAGAAGGCGGAGTAGCAGAACACATGCGAGGGATAATTTCAGAAGACTTTTTTTCAGGGGAAGCAGAAGACGACCGCGGGGGAATATTAAAGTTTTCTGTACAAGCGCGGTCTAATGGACGAATAACATGAGATTGGGTATAAATTAAAGTCATTGCGGTTTGTCAAGATGCAAATTGCCAACAAGGTCTATTTTGTTAAAAGAAAAAAAAAAATAAGGCTATAATAAATGATAAAGTTTTTATTTGGCTTTTTTTTTTTTTTCGTTTGCCAGAACTTTTAGTCACGATATTAATAATACAAGAAAAAAAAAGGAAAGGAAATTAGATGGAATATATATTTAATTAATATGAAAGGGGAAAAAAAAAAAATAGAAGAGTAAAGAACTGTCTAAATACTTTGAGTCTATATATAAAAATAAATATATATATATATATATATATCAGATATATATATTTTGTTATATTATTATGAAGTAACGACCAGTTGACAAAGCTAGACAATAAGCGGAGACTACCTAATATATGAGTGGGAAGTTTCGTCCAAGCGATTTTTTCTACAAAAGACGATGGTGGTTGTTTATTTTTAGTAAAAATAATGAAATGCGGAGAACAAATAAGGTTAAAAAGAGGGAGATAAAAATTTTCACGACTGGTGAAATTTAAAATTCAATAAACACTTGATATTAGTATGACGCAAATCTGACTTCAAGTTTACCGGTTTAATTGATTTTAATTACCTAAGAACCGACGGTGCAGTATTTTACACCGGACCCCCCAGCAACTGGGGTTATAATAAAAAAGAGGGATCTAACAGGTCAGTCAGAAGTGTGGCTACATTACCATTTTCGTCAATCAATGCTAATTTAAACAAAGTAATCTAACAGTCTAATTTAACGCCACAAGAGAATTCCAGGGTTCAAAATTTTAACTGGTTCTTTTTGCCCAATTTCCTTTTATTTTCTTTATTTAAATTGCTAAAAAAAAAATATATCAAACCCATCTTTATCATTTCTATTTATTTGAGCATCATTATTATCATTATTTTGATTTTCGCTAAATTTGCCTTATTACTCTTGCTGTTGTGACTATTTAAATAATCTAAATTCTTCAATTCGGTCATAATACGCATGAATACCTGTTTAATTTGTTTTCGGCCTTTTTTCTTAATCAATCGATTGTAATCTTGTTTTTTCCTTAAATATAAAATCGTATATCCGGGATTACACTGCGGATTATGCGGAAAGTGTATTAATTATGTATTTATGTATTTGAAGAATCGATACACAGTGATCGTTTCCCAAAGTAGATCGTTCTTTCATCAGAATTTTTGGTTCCCGCAGATCCTGGTCATCTAAATCAAAATCTCAGAATATTCTATTAACAAATTATTATTTTTATAGTTATAAAAAATTGTTAATAAGCTTAATAAGCTTAATAAGCTTTTCAATTTTAATGTTAAGAATTTTTTTTTTTTATTTATTATATAATAAAAATAAATATAATGTTAATCTTTTCTAAAATCTGGTCGGACTCAAAATCGGATGGGCTGGTATCAAATATTACATAGTTTGTCCTATAATCACACAAAATTTCAAAAAAAATTTCACCAATAAAATCATAGAAAACTTATTAAGTAAAGATATCCAATCCGGAATTTTGATGATCGCCCTGTAAAAAAAATTTATAACATCCGAATTTACACGTTTCCTTGGATGGTTTATTATTTTCGCATGAAAATACATATGAAAAACTGCATGATTATAACTTCTATGGAATTATTGTGAAACAAAATTTCCTATTATTTCTGAGAGAATCTATTTGTCGCCTGCAGTAACATTCTCCAGTTCTAACCCTAACGTTAAATAAATCTTGGTGCACCACTCCGATATTTTTAATCACTTCGGGATAAACTGCACTTTTTGTGTCACTGATTCTGTTGATATGTATGTAATGTAATACATTTTAACTCGATACTTTGCCTTTTGTATCAAATACAAAGAAAAAGTAAACTTGACTACATGACGATACTGTCATTATTATTCGTTTCAAATAAAAATTACGTATACGTTTTTATTTTTTTATATAAATTGAATTTAGAATTTAAAAAAAAATAAAAAAATAAAATGATTACGTATTAAAAGGTTATTATATATATTCATGTTATATTCGTATTATATATATATTTATACATATATTTTAACTTTACTTATCGTTGTAATATAATCCGTTCAACTTTAAAATAAAGCCAAATTTAATTGTTGATTGCACGATTTGAATGCTTCAAATTTACCTAAACAAGAATTCACCTTAGATAAAATTTTTTAGAATTATACAGTAACTAATCATCAAAATTTTGTATTATATAATTTGAAGTTTCTTATTTGCAGTAAAATTTGTGTCCTGAATTTTTTAAAATATCTATATACTTTATATATTAGTAAAAAAAACTTGGATAAATTCAAAAATTGCTAATTCTAATTGGTCGAATTTACAATAGTTATAATTTTTTTTTTTTTTTAATATTTAAGGTGAGATCGTTTAATTGGCTAATATAAATTAATTGCACGGGTAACTTTATATACTTTATACTGTTTATAGTACTTTTTAAGAATATAAAATTATATATATACTACAGTATAAATGAAAAATCAACACAAAAATTATTTCTAGCTTCAAAAAAGTGCTAGAAAGTTAACTTTAAAATCAATTTTTTATAATCTTTTATTTAGAAAAGTTGGCTTAACCAACTTTTTAATATAAAATTTAAAAAAAATTTATAGTTAATACAAAATCTTTAAACTTTTTTTTTTTTTTTTTTTTTTTTTTTTTTTTTATTTTTTAATAGTCTTGTCGGTACTCAAATACAAATTATATTACTATTAGACTACAAAACAAAGTTTCAAAAATTCTAATAATATCT